AAGTAAAATCGCTGGGTATTAGGGTTTTCACATTAGAACCTTACTAACTATTGCCGAATTGCTTTTTACAGAGGTGAGTATAAAATATATCCTGTGAGCAGTACATAGTAGTATTTAATTGAGTTCCCATTTCCCTAAATCTTTGCTAACACTTGCACCTCCAGCACAGAGCCTAACCCCAGGCTCAAACTCACAAGATGTGAGATCATGACCTAAGCCGAAATCAAGAGTCAGACATTTAACCACCTGAGCCACCCAGGCACCTGGAGGGATCTAATTTTAATTCTTTTAGTTGAATGCCTATTTTCCAACACCACTAAGTAGTCCATTGTTTCTCTACCCGTTTATTATATCTCCTCCATCACCTTGCACAACTCCATATTTTAGTCTGTTTGTAAGTTTTATGTTATATTGTATTGACCTGTTTCTCTGTCTCTAAACTAGTGCCACATTATCACTTAAAATAATTTGTACAGTCTTTTCAATCATTTATGTAGACACTTAAATTGAAAATAACGATAGATTTGTTTCTTCCTTCCAGTTCTTTGACCTTTTATTTCTTTTTCTTGTTTTGTCCTATTAGCTGCACACTACAATACCACATCAATTATTAGAGGCTATTATAGGCATTTAGACTTGTTTCTGACTTTGATAGGAATGCTTCTACAGTTTCCTCGTAGTATTTGCTGTATGTTTTGGTATGCTGTTTGTTGTGGGATTTGCTGTAGGTCCTATTTACCAGAACAAGGAAATCCCCTTGTATTTCTAGTTGGCTAAAGTTTTGTTTGTTACTAGGAGTAAGTGATGAATTTTATTGGAAGTTGTTTTGCATTCATTGAGATAAATTCTCATTTAATGTTCTAACATGGGAAATTCCATAGACAGATTTGTTGACATTAAAGCCATCCTTATATTTTTGGTATTAGTTCTGCTTGCTTTTCTGTTTCTGAAATAATATTTTACTTAGGTATTTTGTGCCTGTATCCTTAACTGATTTGTGTGTTAGCTTTCTTTTCATGTACTCTTCTTGCCTGATTTTGATATCCAGGTTTGCTATTCTCTTTAAAGGGCTTTGATTCTGGGGGCACCTGGGTGGCTCAGTTGGTTAAGCATCTGACATACTGGGTTCTGCACAGATGGTGTGGAGCCTGCTTGGGATTTTCTCTCTGCCTCTCCCTCTCTCTCTCAAAATTAATAAACTTTAATAAACAAAAGGGGTTTAATTCTGGGGACTGTACTGAATGTCTTGACTTTGGCAGGTCAGGATTGGGAATTTGCACCTTACAGGTCCTGGGGAGTTTGGCCTCATGGTGTTCTGCCCTGTTCAGCTTAGTATCAGGTGAATGCTCAGGGAACAGTCTGCAGTTCTCTGAGCTATCTCTGTGTGCAGGCACCTTGCAGAAGCTCTTTTGTTGTTTCTGCTGCATCTGAACCTCTTAGGCTAATCTCCTTAACATGCTTTTGCCCTGGAAGTTTAGTAACTTGTCACAGTTTCTACCAGTGCATTGTGATTTTTCTTTTCTTTCTTTTTTTCTTGATGTTTATTTATTTTTGAGAGAGATACAGAGCATGAGTCGGGGAGGGCCAGAGAGAGAGGGAGATACAGAATCTGAAGCAGGCTCCAGGCTCTGAGTTGTGAGAGCAGAGCCCAGTGTGGGGTTTGAACTCAAGGACCACAAAATCGTGACCTGCGCTGAATGAAGTCATATGTTTAACCTACTGAGCCACCCAGGCGCCCTGTGATGTTCTCTTCTGTTCATCCTTGACCAGCTTGATTAAGAGTGTCCTATCCCTTCAAACTTCTTCTAGAATACATCAGATCTGGGCTTCTGAGATGGTTTCTTTAACTGCAGATTGTTTAATGCCACTACAGATCTTCTACATTAGCAGAGTGTATTTTAATATTAATTTGTGTTTAAAAACATCTTTGGAGGATTGGAGATTTGATCGAAGATGCAACTTGCAAATGGAGTCTGGAGGTGTAGACGTCATCATGGAACGGATTAGGAGCCCACTGATTGTATTCCCTTTTCAGATGTCGTCAACTCCCAGCATCCTTTGGAAAGGTGTGGCTCTGCTTTCACACCAGTTAGTGGACCAAGATGAGGTTAAAGCTCCCATCCTAGGGTACTGGAAGTTCTACGTAAGCCAATTAATGGACCTGAGTTTATAATCTCATTCGGGACATAAGAGAACTTGTTGAGATCATTAATGACATGTGGCAGAGTATAGGGACTGTGATGTGAAAGATAAAAGGGGACAGGAGTTCAGGTGTCCAACAGATCATGGTGGGGCCGGTGGGCATTTGAGAAGGACTTCATGGAGAAGGAGCTGGTTTCACATGAACACGAGCTTGGGAGATGTGTTTTGGGACAGAGCACCATGTGCAGAGGTGGGGAGTGGTGGGCTTCTGTAGGGATGGGCAGGGGGCAGTGAGGGTGGAAGGGGGGCTTGGGCCAGGTGCAGTGGGTCTTGAATGTATCTCATGGGCAGCTAGCTTGGGTTGAAAGTTTTTGAACAAAGGAGAAAAAAAAATCCAAAGAGCTGCATTTTATGAAACCCAGTCTGTCAGCAAGTCTGGATTAGGATTTTGTTCAAGTTTGGCTGCATGTTGCAATCACCTGGAGAGTTTAAGAAAAACAACAACAACAACAAAGACAAAAGCAACCTAAACTGATGTCTGATCCCCTCCCCCAGAGATTCTGATTCAGAGGCTGGTGTCAGCCCTGGGTTTTGAGAGTTTTAAAAGCTCCGCAAGTGATTCTAATGTGTGGCAAAGCCTGAGAACCACTGCCCACCCCACTGATAATATCTTGATGTAGTGTTTACTTATTGTGTTGAACTACTTGTGGCTGGGCAAATGCAGAATCGACTGGTGGAAAAAGTGGTTTTAAAATACTTCTGTAACATTTATTTATAATTTTCCACATAGTTCATTGCTTCGGTTAGAATAACAGTTTTCTCATAAGTGCCTACAAATTTTTGCATTGGCCATGAAGTAGATGATGACAATATATAAACTTTTGGAAGGGACCCATAATAATCTTGAGAATTTGGTCACATGGGAAGTTTTTTTTTTTTTTATGCATTAAAAATAAAAGGGCAGCAACATAAAACAAGCATATTTATCACAGCAAGAATTCAGACCTGGGGCAATGGAAGATTGTGCACTTCTGAAGCGCTTCTGGCGGCTGCCGCCGCTGGTCCAAGCACCACACTTTAGCAAGTGCCACACGAGAACCACAACGACATGGAGTCCCAGTTTCCTAGGAGAAACGGCTTGATAAAATGTGGTTGCAGGACATGAGGTTTGCTTTTCTTTTCATGGCAGGTGAGGGGCTTACCTTGGCATTGAGGGACTCTGTCCCACCCCTCCCTTCCCTGACCCAGGTCCAGCCAGCCCCTCCTGTCTGCATGCTCCAGGAAGCTGCTGTCAGAGCCTATGGGGGGTTAGGTGGAAGGGAAAATTGTCATTCTCCTTATTCTTTTTTGTTTTTAATTCTTTTTTTTTTTTTAATGGTTATTCATTTTTGAGAGAGAGAGACAGACGGATAAGAGACCACAAGTGGGAAAGAGGCAGAAAAGGAGGGAGACACAGAATCCGAAGCAGGCTCCAGGCTGTCAGCACAGAGCTCCACCAGGGCTCGAACTCAGGAACCGTGAGATCATGACCTGAGCCAAAGTTGTATGCTTAACCGACTGAGCTACCCAGGTGCCCCCGTGTTATTGTTCTCTCAACATTTACTGCAGAAGGGTGGTATCATATATAGTCACACTACTATATAACATGTTCTTTCTCTTATGGTAGAAAGTTTTTATAAGTTTAAGGTCTTTATATTATTCTTTCCCTGCCTCTCACATGCTACCAAATTTGTAGAGTTAAAAAATCTCTACCCTTTGATGCTTCGAATCCCTCTTTGTCCTCCTAAAGACAGGTTCTGGTTGTATATCCTCAGTGGTATTTTGGAAAATTTCATGATTGGCCCCCATCTGGGCACCAACTTTCGTATACTGCTCTGTGCAGCCTTCCTGGTAGATGAGGGGACATTTGCAGCACACCTTGGGAGGGAGGAGAAGTGGAAATCATTCTCAGATGTTAAAATGAAACATGTTTCTAATTGAAAGCATGAAGAGAATGTATACATGAAAGTGCCTGGGGGGGTGATCTTTGGCAGAGGCTCAGCTCTGAAAGCCCCGTCCTGTCCTCCCTCGTGGCCACTTCTGTTCTCTCTGGGTGGAGCCCATTTCCATTTCTGTGAGATTCCATAAATAACCATGGCCGAGTAGGGACCCAATGATCATTGGTTGGCCCGGAAAATGCTGATAAATTAGAATCCTGAACCCTGGAAGTGCATAGTTTTGGACTTAGAATTCTAGAAGCCTAATTTGGGAAGAGCTCTTGGGGACTGTTTTAGAACAATCAGTTACTGCCCTCCTGCCCCCAAACATGTATAGGTACAGAGGTTAAGGTTAAATAACAAGCTAAGGTCACCTAGGGAGCTGGTTGCATTTTTCTTTGCTTTTTAAGAATCCCTTCCCACTTTTGGAAAATTTGTCAGCCTAGTCTGACACTTGGCAGTCATTTCTTATCATTATTTTCTATAACTAATGGGAATCATATTGTAGGAAGATGGGAAAGCTGCTTCTCTCTTTTATAGAAAATCAGGAGGTTAAAGGGCTTTTAGGTCTTGGTCATTTGGCTCATCCATAGTTAAGCTTCCTCTTGTTCATATCCCTCATCTATTTTGTAAATGTTTATGGACTGAATCTGGCATTTCATTTTATGGGCGTTGTAGTAGTATGATCTGCTTGAGGACCAAGGGTTTAATTTAAGTCAAAAGTGGACTGATAACAAAATCAGCTGGTGTAAATCAGTGCATTTGGACACATAAACTGAAGGAATCCTGTCCATCAGCCTATATAACATTAACCTAATGAAATTTAAGTCGGTAACATCTCAACTTCTCTGGGACCTTGCCTGTGATGAAACCCACTTACCCATGACCCGTAGCCCCGCTAACTTTGAAACTCTGGCCACAAGTCTTGTGATTCCGAGTACGTGCATCCTAGCAAATAGGAGATAAAGGGCTTGCTTCTTCTTGGTTGCCTTTCATTGTAAGATTAGGAATGGTGTACAGGACACTGGCTTTTTGAAAACAGAAGTATAAAAGTGTATCTTGGATGATTCTCAACCTCTGTATCCTTCAGTCATGTAAAAACAAAAAAGTGAGTTAGTCTGCATTTCTGAGTCAGTCACTCCAGGCTCCGATAGCTTATGCAGGATGAAATTTGTAGCACTTTTTGGGGGTTGGGGATTGGACTTGGGCTTATCACATCTTATTTGGGTACCTGAAATTTAAACTTAAGCCACTGAGCACAATTTAAAAAGAAAGGCAAAGCATTTTCTTAAGTTTTCCATTGCTTCTGATGCATTTCTGAGAGGCAACTCTAATGAAGTGGTTAAGAATGATGACGTCGAAAAACACACACACACAAAAGCAAAAACAAAAGAAAGATGATGTTGGAGCCAGTTCACTTGGATTCAAGTCCCAGCTCTTCTATTTACTCATAGTTGTGTGACCTTTGGCAGATTACATAACCCTTGTGTCTATTTCCTCATCAATAAAACAGGCAAAATAAAACCTCTCCTTACCGCGGTTGCTGGGGAGGAGGGTGGCGTTCAATTTGTCGATACGTATTAGAACCGCCTGGCACCTGGGAAGCCATTAATAAATATTAGCTATCATTGTCATCATTGTTGTCCTTGTCATCATGTCTTTAAGTAAGGTTTTATTTTATTGGAGAGCGTTCTGGTGCTGATGTTAAAAGCCCTTGGAAGGACTTATTAAGTCTCCAATGCTTTTCTTCAGAGTTGTGTCTTCTGTTGTCTCCCTGCAGCAAGCTGTGTTCCACCATGCCAGAATGGAGGGATGTGTCTCCGGCCTCAACTCTGTGTGTGTAAACCGGGGACCAAGGGCAAAGCCTGTGAGACAGCAGCTGCCCAGGACACCTCATCCCCAGGCTTTGGAGGGCAGAGTCTTGCGGCTGCTTCCTCCTGGGTCCCTCCTGAGCAAGCAGCAAAGCACACTTCGTCTAAGAAGGCAGACACTCTTCCAAGAATCAGTCCTGTGGCCCAGATGACCTTGACCCTCAAGCCGAAGCCTTCCGTAGGACTGTCCCAGCAGATTCATTCTCAGTGAGTGTTTTCAACTTGCCTCTACTCAGGAGCATCTTAATTGCTGTCCTGGGAGATTGCTTTCAATCACTCTGCCTTTCCTGCACAATTGGTAGAAATCACTTGGGTAATAATGTCTCTTCTTTCTTTAAGGTTTTACATGTCATGCTTCTCCATCACGTCTTTTGAACATATTTGGTATGTGTGTTTAGCCTCTGCAGGGAAGATTGACTGTAAGCATGAACCAAAGCAGTAGTGAGGATTAGAGGGATCAAGGTTGGACTGGAAGAATAAAGAGAGTTGTTTCTGGTGCAGTTGTGAGTGTTACAACAATTCTTTTGGGGGTGGGGGAAGTGTCTAGAGTTTTGAAATAATAATTGAAGAAAGGAAACAGTGCAATTTGTAAAGATACATGGAAACAGCAGGAACTCAGCTTTGCGTAGAGAAGATATTCCAGATGAGAGCCCTGGGAAAGAGCGTTTCCCAACCTCGGTAGCAGGTTAAGTGTCTCTCCTATTAACACCATGTTTACCTCCCAGTTGCCACGCACGTCCATTTTTGGTGAATGAGCTCGTGTTCTATTTATGGGAACAGGGTTTTTTCTTAGCGTTTGGAAGTAAGTGCCATTCTGAATACAATGAGGACTCCTGGCTAAGACTGCTTACCCCTGGCCTCCTCCGAGGGGCCCGAGGAGGGGCTCCTGGGCTGCACAGGGTCCTTACACACATGGTTTCCTTTTAAATAGCTACTAGACATGGATCACAAGATGCAGAGTGTGCCACAACTCTCGCTTGTCATTTGTCTAGGAATGTAAAATACAGGAAGTTCTCCACTTGGAAATGGGCTTGACCCAGCGGTTCATTTGTAAGTCACTTGCTGGGAATTGTGAATACTTTTCCCCCCTAGAGACAGCTTCCACATGGTGATTAGTATCCAGTCAGCCCACAGAAGTTATTTAATCTGCTAGTGTAGATGAAATTATCCTAATTTATACTTCCCCTTCGAGTAGGCCACCTACTGTCCGTGCTGAGTGGGGTCTGCCTGCTTTTTCCTTTCACTTCTTATCCCCTGCTCCCCCCTTTTCATTCTGCTTTTTCTTTCCTTTCTTGTTGTCTCATTCTTCACTTCTGCCTTGGTGAGTAGGTTTGTGGGGCTAGTTTGAAGTCTAACCACCTTGGTGGCATTTCAGTTGGAAAACATGTTCCGGAGCAAGAAGGGATGATGGTTCCAGCCGGTGTTCAATAGTGGCTCACTCTGTGCCCAGGACTGTTTCAGGTGCTTTGCATGTATTATTAATTCACAACTCGCAGTGACCCCGTAAGGTGGGTGCTGTTAATTGACCTCATTTTACAGCTATGGAAACTGAGGTTTTTGGCAGAGTGGTTAAGTAATTTGGTCAAGGTCACACAACACAGTTAATAAGTGAGTAATATTAACAAACGTTAGGCTTTAAATAGAGGCGGTCAGGATTCAGCTTCCATGCCCTGAAGGGTGGTAACTTTTTCTGTAAAGGGCCAGGTAATAAGTATTTTCAGCTTTGTGGGACATAGGGTTTCTGTTGCAGCTTCTCGCTTGTGCCGTTGTAGCACAAAAGCAGCCATAGATGATGCATAAATGAATGAGTGTGACTGATCCAGTAAAATTTTATTGACGGACCCTGAAATTTGAATTTCGTATAAATTTCACACGTCACCCATGTGACTTCTTCTTCTTCTTTTGGTTTCTCCCCCAACCATTAAAAAATGTAAAAATATAAAAATTCGTAGCTCATCGGTTGTACTAAAACAGGCGATGGGCCACCTTTGGCCCTTGAGCTCTGTAGTTTGCTGACCCTTTCTATAAAACATAGTGGTGCTTTTTTGTGCCAGAGCATGAATGTAACTGTGTATCCTTGAAATGACACAAAGCTTTGACTATATCATAGCTAGACATCTCTTTTCCAGCATTGTTCTGGATCTTAAAAACAAAGAGCAATTCTGTGTTGAACTTTGCCTCGGCAATCAAGAGTCAGGTTACTGTGCATTGCAACGATTTTTTTCTAGCGTTATTACTTACATAAACTGTGAAGTAATTTACAAGCGACATCCTTCATCTTGAATATCACCATCTACTGTTAGAATTTGACCCTCTGTGATGTGTGTGTGTGTGTGTGTGTGTGTGTGTGTGTGTGTGTGGCTTGTTAGTAAGAACCATATGTCAGAAGTCAGATAAATGATTCAACTTTTTTTTTCTTTTTTTGGTAGCAGCAGTATAATTTAGACAAGAATGTTGTGAGTCAAAGAGGTGGCTAAGGTTTCAGTTCTAACATTGCTTTGGAAAAATAAGTCTGTGGATACATTTGCTTCAGAGGCTTCATCTTCTGAATGAAGATAGTTTTTGCCGTGGCATTGTTACAGGGCATGTGTATGTGGGTGTGCCTGTGATGTGCTTTTGGGTAAGGAGAAGGGGTGGCCCAAGGTGCTAACAATTCTGACCATTTCTTAAATGATTATTTTATTTTATTTTTTATTGTAGAGAAGGCGAGTGGGGGAGAGGGGCAGAGGGAGAGAGAGAGTCTTAAGCAGGCTTCACGCTCAGCATGGAGTCCGACCTGGGGCTCGTTCTCACAACTGTGAGCTGAAATCAAGAGTCCGATGCTTGATGGACTGAGCCATCCAGGCATCCCGATCTTGATACTTTCTTAATGAATGCTTATAGGTTGCCCTGTTATCTGGAGTATGAAGATGTAAAAGATCCACTTCTGCATTTAAGGAGGTTTTGAGATGATAGATGAGCTGTAACATGTGAGGGACACAAAGGCAGGAGGGGTGCAGTTGGCCCACAGGTGAATTTAGGTAATGATCTATAATCACCTGAAATCCTACTTAATCAAACTGCCAAGGAGCATACATGATAGGACTATTTTGGCTACTTTTAAGAAATGTAATAATTCTTAAGTCATCTTTTTTTAAGATTGACTGCTTTGGGATGTTTCAAGGTTTTGTTTTGTTTTTATCTATCGAAGAAGGAGATTGAGTTTCAAGGTTTTGTTTTGCTTTGTTTTTATCTATTGAAGAAGGAGATTGGTTAAGCCTCCTTAAAGTGCTTGTAGACACAAAGATACCTAAGATATCAAAATGTTTATTTTTTTAAATGTTTTTTATTTATTTTGAGAGAGAGAAAGAACAGGGGAGGAGCAGAGAGAGAAGGAGAGAGAGAATCCCAAAGAAGTTCCATACTGTCAGCACAGAGCCCGACGCGGGGCTTGATCTCACAAACTGCGCGATCATGACCTGAGCCAAGACCAAGTGTTGGAGGCTCAGCTGATGGAGCCCCCCAGGTGCCCCTCACACTGTGTATTGAGCGTTACATCTCTTATGTGGTGTATGAAGCCGTCTTGATCTCTTATCCAGCAAGGTGTTGTGGAGCACGCTCCGTGTCCCGGGCACGCACTGTCTAAGGCCTCAGGCTGGAGCACTGAACGAATACACAAAATGCCAGCCTCCCTGGAGCTTACAGCCTGCAAAGTGGGAGACAGGTGGAAGTGGCATGATGAGAACATGTGAGAAGTGCTGTAGGAGAAAGTAAACCTGTGGGAATGGATGGAGAGTGCTGGGTGGGTGCAGGGTGGAAAGGCATGAGATCTCTAGTGGTTTTAATAGGCTGTCGGGGAGGACCCAACTGGGAAGGTCACATGTAAGCAAAGACTTAAAGGATGTGAGAGCATGAACCGTGAAGACGAGTGCGTGCCTGGCACGTTTGAAGCAACAGTTAATTTAGGAAGACTGTGATGTTAAAACTACACATTTTAGGTACGTGAGTAGTAGTTGAATTGGTTTTACCTTTGGCCAGGTTAGTTTTAGACAGCTTGATTTAGAACCAGATACAGAGCTCTTGAGGAAATCAAAGGAAGGAGCAATTGTTTCCAGATTTTGGAGTGTTGGGGAAGTGGAGGTTCCAGGGATGGCTCTGGAGATGGCGAGCTTGAAAAGATGGTTAAATTTGGACACAAAGAACTGGATGGGAAGGGCATTTCCAGGAATGGCAATGATGTGCCATCAGAAAATATGGCATATTAGTGGGGTGCCTGGGTGGCTCCGTCAGTTAAGCGTCTGACTTTGGCTCAGGTCATGGTCTCATGGTTTGTGAGTTCGAGCCCCGCTTCGGGCTCTGTGCTGAAAGCTCAGAGCCTGGAGCCTGTGTCAGAGTCTCTGTCTCCCTCTCTCTCTGCCCCTCCCACACTTGTGCTCTGTCTCTTTTTAAAAAATAAACGCACATTAGAAAATAAACATTAAAAAAAAAAAAAAAGAAAGCATGGCATATTGGTTACCTACTGCTGTGTAACAGATCACCCAAAACTCAGCAGCCTAAAACAAACATTTATTGTCTGACATTCTCTGCAGGTGGGGAACCTAGGAGGTGCTTGGCTGGGAGATGTGCCTCAGTATCTCTCATGAGGTTGTAGTCAGCAGGGGCCACTCCACTAGGGCTGGAGAACCCACTGCCAAGTTCACTCAAGTCCGTGGCTATTGGCAGGAGGCTTCCCTCCTGGAAAGAGATTACTCATGGATCTCTCTGCAGAACTGCCTGAGAGTTCTCATAACATGGCCGGCTACTGGCTTCTCCTGGAGCCAGTGATCCCACACTGGAGAGAGCAAGGAGAATGCCACAGTGCCTTTGTGGTTGTCAGTCTTAAAGATACACACGTTTACTTCCACCTTATTCTACTCATTAGAAGTGAGTCACTCAGTCAAATGCACTCTTTCAAAGGGAATGAAGTTAAGCTGCGCTGTTTGAAGGTGTGAATATCAAAGAGTTTTTAGACATATTTTAAAAAGACCACATTTAGGATATGATTTGATTGGAACTTAATATAGATGCAGACTAGTGGTAATAAAAGGTTGTAAGGATTGGTTAAAAACCAAGGTAAACACTTAAGATTTCCACAAAACCATTCCAAAGAGAGACAACAAAGCAAGATAGAAAAAAAAAAAAAAACCAGAATAGAGAGGGAAACTAGTTTAGAAGAGGCTTAAGTAACT